GTGAGTTGGGTAAATACCCAGAAGAGTGATTTACTCAGGTTTTAGGGTAAATCTGTTTTTCATTTAATAAGAATTAGTTATTATCTCTTCCATAGTGACTGTTCATTTTGCATTTCCTCCAGCAGTGAATGGGGGTCCCTATTGCTCCCCATTCTGGTCAGCACCTGGTGCATAGTGTGTCCCCTTATCTGAGGTTTCACTTTCCAAGGCTTCAGTTTCCCGAAATTAAACTAAGTTAAAATTTTTTCATATTTAGAGAGAGATCACAGTTACACAACTTTTATTACATTACATTGTTGTGATTTTGATTGTCCTGTTTTAATGTTATTGTTATTAATCACACAGTACCTAATTTATAAAGTAAATGTATCATATGTATGTATGTGCAGGAAATCTTTGTATATAGAGGGCTCCATACTATTGGTGGTTCTGGTATCCACTGGGGGTCTTGGAATACATCCCATGTGGATAAAGGGGGGCTGCTATACTAGGATTTGGATTTAGGCCATATAATAGGTGTGCATAGCGTGTCCATGTTGCTTCAATTTGCACTTGCATTTACATATGTCAACATATGACATTGAGTTTCTGTTCATATGCCTAGTTGCCATCAATGAGGTCCTTGGAAACTATTCAGAGTTTTGCTCAGTTTTAGAAAGTTATTTGTTCCTTGTTGAATTATAAGGGTTCCATGCATATTCTAGAACATGTATTACATTAGCCATATTTTGCAAATATTTTCCATTGGTCTGTGGCCCAAGCTCTTTTACAGACCTAACACATCAATGCATACATAGACTTTTTTGGAGAGAAAATGAGAAGTTGTTGACTACAGGGGTTCAGAGTAGAGGAGACTTGGTTGACTAAGAATGATGTAACTTATGTATTTGTGTATGTTCTTGAGTATTTATGAATCCTCTGGGTAAGCGTGAATAGCAAATATTAGTTATTATCAAAATCATTTATTATCAAAAATAATTTACACAATACCTGACACTATCAAACACTTGGCAGATCCCCCTCAGTCACATGTTCTCAGGCTCTGAGCCTCTACTCTAGGACCCGCCATCTTGTCACTGAATGATTTTGCCATAGACACCTTCCCACTGAAAAGAGCGGAAAATATGAAATACATATGAGATATAAGACCATCTTCTTTTTTTTTAAAGATTATTTATTTATACAAAGATTTATTTATTTATTTATGCAAGCACTGGGTACAGTCAGAAGCGCGGGAGGGTGGGAGAATTCACCAGAGCCAGATTGGGGAGCAGAGCAGGCAGAAGGACCGAAGTACACTGCTGAGGGGAGCAGCGGGCAGCAGGAGAGGTCTGCGCGCCTTGTGGGACCTTCCTCCGGTGGCCGGGGAGCAGCTGGGGATCGAACCCATGCTGCAGAGGCTGCGGGCAGCTTTGCAACCCAGCGCTCAACCGCTGCGCCACCGGGGAAGCCCAAGACCATCTTCTTAAAACTGACAATATAGTAATGAATGCCCACACCCAGTAGAGAAGGGGGAGACCCTGCATGGGCCCCACAGAAAACAGCATCTTGAGGAGGGAGGAAGGACTGTGAGGGCCCTGTCCAGAGCAGACACAGAGCCCAGCCCTTCAGCTCTGCGCTGAGCCTGACGACCACCACCTGCCGTCCCATTCAAAATTTAGAAGATCTGCTTTATTTTGGTTATGGTGTGTGTGTGTATGTGTGTGTGTGTGCGTGTGTGTGTGTATACACATATATGTGGTATAGTTCTTAGGACATAAACTGTATTCACTATAAAAATAAAAATGTTGGGCCTCCCCAGCGGCACAGCCAGTTGAGTGCAACGCTGTGAAGCTGTCCTCAGCCTCTGCAGCGCAGCTTTGATTTCCGGTTGGCCAGGGAGACACCCACATGGCTCAGCAGACCTCTCCTGGCTCGCCCGCTGCTCCCCTCAGCAGTGTATTTTAGTCAGTCTGCCTGTTCTGTTCCCCGTTCTGTCTCTGGTGAGTCTTCACACCCTCCTGCACATCTGCCCTGTACGCCGGTTCTTGTATGCATAAATAAATCTTTAAAAAAAATTAAATAAAATAAAAATGTTACAAAGCATTTTCAGACCAGGAGGGAGTAAAAACACTGTGAGCTGTTGTTAACAATGAGAAACAGAAAAGCATTGAAATGAGGCCTCAAGTTTGGAGATGACCATCATTGTCAACCTTCCACAGGCAGGGCCAGCACCTGAGCCCAGAGGAGAAGGGCTGCACAGGAGGGAGCAGGGATGTGGGTAGAGACCACCTTGTCCAGGATGAAAAGTTGTGGGGTCCTAGCTAGGGAGGCTCAGGAAAGCAGGGAGCATCTCCTCAGGCCTGAGAGAAAGAATCTGGAGACAAAGTAAACCCAGTTTCTGATGACATAAAGCACATATAAGTCACTTCTGCCACAATCCAAAGTACTATGTGCCAAGGAAACTAATTTATATAAGAAGAATTAGACCTTTTGGGAGGGGGGTACTACCATCTTTACTTGAAGGGATGAATGACAAAAACTATCATTATTTAGATTTGGTTAATCTGTACACACTTTCTAGAAAATGGATATGATCTATCCCTTTAAGAAAATCAAGTGACAGTTGACAACTGATAGTAATTAACTGCCTTGATAAAGTACAAGCTCCAAGTGAAAACCAGATAGTGGAAAATTGTGTCCCATCACTATAAACTTGACAACTTCCAGTAGCCGCTTACTTTTCTTTGGGGATTTTTGGAACATGAAACGTATGATTTTCAAAATTTGATTCTCGAATAATTAACATAAAGATCATATAACCTGGTAAGACAATGCATCACTTTTTAACGTCACGTATTAGTACAAGATTAATAATCAAGAGAGGCCTATGGAATTAATATAACAGAATAGAAAACATTCAATGATACTGTTCTACCATTCACTTTGCAAATAACATTTGAAAAACCACCACTTATATAGTTTCAATTTATTGCAGAAGTGGAACGAAATTAGTCACAATTATGTGAAAAGCACTTAAAATGCTATTTTCACATATTTCAGAGCGGCTATATAGTTTTTCATTGACCCACCAAAACAAAGAGTAAATGCAGGAGAAACTAGGGCAATCCAACATGCCTCTAGTGAGACAGAGAAGAAAAATAACTGCAAAAATGTCAGCTGTAAAAGATCCACTCATGACCTTTGCGGGGGCCTTACAGCCCCAGCCAGATAAGACACTGGCAAGCAGCTAAGAAAAAGAGCCTCACACCGTGGGGCTGAAGATTCCTTGTGCCTCACACCATGGTGCTAAAGATTAGTCTATAACCTTTAATCATCCCTTTGTTTTTTGTTCTTGGTCATATAAGAAAAAACTTCTTGGAAAGTACACTGGGCAATAAATTAAACATATAGAATACTGTAAGTAAATGGCACAAATAAATACCTGCTTAAAAATTAAACACTGTAAATTTGGCCTGCCTGACAATGGGAAAGAGTTTGTTATACATGAACATGCCTGACAAGCAATTCAGGACAACGATTATAGTAAGTCCTTCTTTTGCTTTTTTTAGAAGTTTCTTAGGAAAGTTTTTAAATGAAGTTCATTGTGTTAAGAAGTTTCTAGGTAGAAAACTGTTAGCTGATAACCAAAAAGCAGCTGGTCTCTGGCTGAAGACCATCAGAATAGAAGAATCTTTTGATGCTTGGGCTTTAGCTGATAGAAGTGCACTGGCGGCTATCAACTTGTCTGATCCATTCCTCAATTGCGCCAACGCAGTCCCATCCTTCAGGAACCCCTTACACCCAGTTTGCCGAGGTCTGTCTTCGGCAGACCCTGATTATTTTCATTAAATATCTACATTTCTTTTTTTTTTTAATTTATTTATACAAGCACTGGGTACAATCAGAAGCACGGGAGGGTGAGAGAATTCACCAGAGCCAGAGCGGGGAACAGAACAGGCAGACTGACGAAATACACTGCTGAGGGGAGCAGCAGGCGGCTGGAGAGGTCTGTGCGCCATGTGGGACCCTCGCCAGCGGCCAGGGATCGAACCGATGCTGCAGAGGCTGCGGGCAGCTTTGCAGCCCAGTGCTCAAATGCTGTGCCACCAGGGGAGGCCCTAAATATCCACATTTCTTTAAGGCACTTTGAACACACATTGGGTTATTAATATTATTTTAAATTAAATAAAAATATCTTTAAATTGTTTTTATTCCTCATGTAGTAAATACTGAGCTATAACCTCCTAAACTTATACCTGGGTTCTGGCTAATTTGTAAAACTGCAGAGATCCTGAAACAAAAAAGCTTGAAAAATCGCTGCCGGACTAAGGAAGGCAACCGTGTGACAATGGCCTTGGAGCAGGAGAGGCGGGGGCGGCAAAGTCCCAGGTATCTGGTGTGGTTCTCAGGGTCTCAGCCCTGTGGGCTGTGCAGGGGGCAGGGAAGGTTACTGTTGGGGATCCTCTCCCCACAGTTTCACATCTCTCTTCCATAACAGGTGTCAAGACCTCCTTTGAATACTGGTGACTCACCCCCAGTTCTCACTCCCCATTGCCTGGAGGTCTCCAAAGACTCCAATCAACATTACAGCTGCCACCAGTCTGGACTCGTTCTCCCCAGACCTCAAGAGCACCCGTCATGAGGCCCCAACCCTCCTGCTGCTGCTCACAGGGGCCCTGGCCCTGACAGAGACCTGGGCGGGTTAGTGCGGGCTCTAGAGAGAAAAGGCCACTGAGGAGGCAGGTAGTAGAAGAACCCCGGGCGGGCGGGGAGGGGGGGGGGCAGGACCCAGGAAAGACTCCTCTCCCCCACTGCTTACCCTGTTGTCCCCCTTGACCCCACCCAGCCCTGACCCTTTTTGTCCCTCTCAGCCTCCAGCTGCCCCCCTGAGTCTCCAGCCTTCTCATCCGCTGCCCCATTTCAGTCTCAGGAGCCCCCTCCCCTCCCGCCCCGTCTCCCCAGCCCGGGTCTCCCTCCCGCCCCCAGGCTCCCACTCCCTGAGATATTTCTCCACCGCAATGTCCCGGCCCGGCCTCGGGGAGCCCCGCTTCATGGCCATCGGGTACGTGGACGACACGCAGTTCGTGCGGTTCGACAGCTACGCGGCGGGGCCGAGGATGGAGGCGCCGGCGCCCTGGGCGGGGTGGGAGGGGCGGGAGTACTGGGAGCTGGAGACGCGGACCGCGAAGGCCGCTGCACTGGCGTTCCCAGAGAACCTGCACGTCCTGCGCGGCTACTACAACCAGAGCGCGGCCGGTGAGCGGGGCGGGCCGGGGCGCTCACGACCCCACCCCCGCGGGCGGGCGGGGACCCCAGACCCCGGCCCGAGCGTCCCCCGAGGCAGGGGGACCCGCCGGACCCTCGACCCGGGACGAGCCCCTGGACGTTCCCCGCGAGGTTCCCGCGTCAGTTTCGGTTTATTCCCGGCGGGGGCGGGCGGGGTGACCGCGGGGTGACGCGGGGTGACGGGGCGGGGACAGGCTCTCACACCCTCCAGGGGTTGTCTGGCTGCGACATGGAGCCCGACGGGCGCCTCCTCCGCGGGTACCATCAGTCCGCCTACCACGGCGCTGATTACCTGGCCCTGAACGGGGACCTGCGCTCCTGGACCGCGGCGGACACGGCCGCTCAGATCTCCCGGCGCAAGTGGGAGGCGGATGGAGTGGCGGAGCGCGTCAGGAACTACCTGGAGGGGGAGTGCCCGGAGTGGCTGCGCAGACACCTGGAGCACGGGAAGGAGACGCTGCACCGCGTAGGTAAGAAGCGCCGCGAGGTCTCCCAACCCCACTCAGGCCGGCAAGGCGGGGAGGGTGGAGTCAGGGTCACAGCAGCGCCCCCTCTTTGGTCAGGGGGGGAGGAGCCCCCCTGGGTTTCCTGACTCCCCAGAGGACCCCACTTTTCCTCAGAACAGTTAGGGAATCCAGTGTCTCCTGAGCCTGAGGGGAGACCAGCCCTGGAATCTCCCTTCACGGATCCTTTTGACCCTGCAGCCCTCTTGGGAACCACCAGTTTTTCTCTCAGGGTGTTGTTATTGGTCTGAGGACATTTTTCTGATCTGACTCCTGCTTTTCTGAGTCCCCAGGTCAGGAGCAAACGTCTGTGCTCTCCTCCTTAGAGAGCTGCGTCCTCCTATCCAGAGTTGTCTCCCTAATTCTAGAACTTTCTAAGACCAGACCAGGCTGGTTTCTAGATTTTGCGCTTCCTCTTTCCAAACCCACTGCCCTGTCCATTCTGAGGATGGTCACAGGGGGGTTCTTAAGGATCCATGAGAGAAAAACCCAGAGTGTGTAAGTTCCACCCTTCTCCTCAGAGGCCCCAAAGACACAGGTGACCCGCCTCCCGAACTTTGACCAGAAGGTCATCCTGACATGCTGGGCCCTGGGCTTCTACCCTGCGGACATCACCCTGACCTGGCAGTGTGATGGGAAAGACCTGACCCAGGACATGGAGCTGGTGGAGACCGGCCTGGTGGGGACAGAACCTTCCAGAAGTGGGCTGCTGTGGTGGTGCCTCCTGGAGAGGAGCAGAGATGCACATGCCATGTACAACATGAGGGGCTGCTGGAACCCCGAGTCCTGACTTGGGGTAAGGAAGGACATGTGGGCACAGAGCTTCTCAGGGGCATCAGAAGCCCTTCTGGAGACCTTCAGAGGTTCAAGATGAGGCCTGGGGCTCAGGGTCTCCCCTTCCCTTCCAGATCCCTTGAGTCAGCCCCCAACTCCGCCGTGGACATCATTGCTGGCCTGGGTCTCCTTGGACCTGTGCTCACTGGAGTTGCACTGGTGCAGCTGTGATGTGGAGGAAGAAGCGCTCAGATAGGGAGGGAAGTGGGGGGATCATGTCCACTGGGGGCTTTGAGGCCACAGGTAGAACTAGCCCTACATGGTAATGGGAAGTACCCTTGTAAGGGGAGGATGAGCACAGTGCAGGCTCTCTATGACCCAAGCTGACAGGTGAAGGAGCAGTTCTGGTGAAGGAGGAGTCCTGGAGCCCTCGGTGGCTTTTTCAGGCTTTTGTTGAGTTTACCAGGTACAGGAAAGGTAGGGGTGTGGGGTGGTGGGGTCAGGAGGCTGGCAGGCTCTGGCTGGCTTTCAGCTCCCAGCAAGTCTTCACTCTTTCTGGACTGTCCTGTGTTTTCCAGTAGCTTCCGCTTCTCTGCTGGTACTGCTCTCTTGCTTGTTCTCCTTCTGGTGGTTCTGCTGTTCCCCTGGCGTCCCCATGACGCCACCCTTACAAGTGCAGTCTCAGCCCAGGTGTATCCCACCTATGCATGCCCACACCCTACTCCAGGAGCCCACCATCAGGCATGCATTTAATCTAATGGCGGGAAGGCGAAAAGCCTGATATGGATTTTACTTACCCTACAACCATCCACACACTTGTGTTGCCCAGTCGGGAGCTGATTGCTAACCCTCTTTTGTAAAGCATTTTTGAAAATGAGTGTAGGGTAAGGTAAAAAGTATCAGGCTTTTGTGCCCTCCAGCCATTAGAATAGATGACGGAACCCTGTGGTCCTGAGTGCATGCTTGTTGGCAGGCACCTGGAGTAGGGTGTGGGTATAGGTAGATGGGATTCACCTGGGCTAATGCGGCAGGCTGTGCCTCCCATGCTGTCTCTTGACATGATCCAGGCATTGGGGGAGACTCCCGAGAAGCAGGGAGTTCCTGTGCTCCCCCGAAGAGGGAAAGTTGTACTTCCCAGAAGAGGGGAGTTCTTGCACTTCCAAAGAAGATCTGAACTAGGGAGTCTCCACGGCAACGCCTGCTAAATCTCTCCTCTTTGTTCTTGGTTAATGCAGAAGTTAGTCATTAATTGGCATATGAAAACTCATTTCAGACCTAGACATTAATTGATTTGTTATTCTTGCACTTGAATTAGTATCATAGAAAGTAAATAATGCAAAAGGTTGTAGGGTAAAGAAAATGTCAGGCTTTTCTGCCCTTCCGCCATCAGGATAGATGATGGATCCTTGTCCTGAATGCATGCCTGATGGCGGGCACCTGGAATAGGGTGTGGGCATAGGTAGATGGGATTCAGCTGAGCAAGACTGTGCTTTTTAAGGGTGGCGTCTCGGGGGGACGCCAGCAGCACCAGTAGCAGCAGCCGCAGTAGCAGCAGCAGAAGCCGAGAAGCAGCAGAAAGAACGCCAGAGAGCCCAGATAGAGTAAAGACATATGGCAGCCAGCACCCCTGCCTGCCATATGCCTGGTGAACCCCAAATAAAAGACCTGCAAAACTACTGAGGACTCTGACTCCTCCTTTACCCGGTCTGCATGGGATCAGAAAACCTGCACTGTGGTCCAGTTCCTGCCCCTTACAATTGGCGTAAGTCAGCAAGATCCATGTAGACGGGTATGGAGCCCTCCGAAGACCTGGAGGGAGTAAGGAGAACAGACTGTTTGCCTGTGATGACGCTGGAGGTGCCATGGCGGCACAGAAGGTGGATACGGTCCGGAGCTGTGGGACGAGACCTCTCATGGAGGAGACGCCCGAGAGGACCAGGCAACGACACCGGAAAGGACCAGCCAACGAAACCGGAAAGGACCAGCCAATGACACCGGAAAGGACCAGCCAATGACCCCTGAGGCAGCAGGCCGTTGCTGAAGCAGGGAGAGGCCAATGGACTTCAACTGATGGACATGGACTGATAAACTTGGACTGACAATCCCGCCAGAAGGCGGAGGACCTTGGCAGGTTATGGTTTGTTTTTTTTTTTGAGAATCTGGGGGTGACCAGTGGGCCTTGATGGCCAAAAGCAGCCTGTGCATGCCCAGCAGCCAGGTGGAGGAGAAAAGCCAACTAAGGCAGCAAAAGCTGGTACTGATGCTAAGTTGAGAAGCCCTAAGCGGCTGTTAAGCAGCCTTAGTATGCTGAAGAACTGTGAGTCTCGTAAAATCACCTGTGGGTGATGCCCTGCTCATTCTTGAGTGAGGGTGAGGAGCTGAGGAACCTGTCCTTGGGGGACGGGTGGGGAATGTGGCTTGGGGTGGAGCCCAAGCTGAATGCAAAGTTTGGATCCCCAACCATGTGCTTGTGCAGTGGGTTGGCTTGAGTGCAGGGGTCTGTGAGTCGCATGGGTGGCCATGAAGGCCGAGTGTTGGAGCGACTGCAGACAGAAACCCTGAGGGTTGGCGATTACCCCCAACAGAATAAAATTGCCAATCCCAGAGCTAGTGCATCCTGGGGGTGGATGCTGTGTGTGGCTTGTAGCCGAGACTACAGCCAGAGAAGGCCAGGAAGCCTGACGGCTCCTGGTGTGTTATAGCAGATGCCGTGTGTGATTTCCCCTTCCTCGTATGAGCAGTGCCTTCGGCAGCAGATTTGGTGGCTCATCTGCTGGTACCAATAATTGTCTTTTGCACTTGGTTGGTGCCCTGCCTGGACTTATTTGTGTTCTGTTGTATTTTGTTATATTGTATTTTGTTATATTTGATGTATTTGCTTTTGTGGGCCATGGCTGCATTGTTTGCTTGCTTAGAAAATTGTATATATATGTATAGACTGTATGGCAGAAAACCCTGAGGGGGTGGACTGTAGGGTAAAGAAAATGTCAGGCTTTTCTGCCCTTCCGCCATCAGGATAGATGATGGATCCTTGTCCTGAATGCATGCCTGATGGCGGGCACCTGGAATAGGGTGTGGGGCATAGGTAGATGGGATTCAGCTGAGCAAGACTGTGCTTTTTAAGGGTGGCGTCTCGGGGGGACGCCAGCAGCACCAGTAGCAGCAGCCGAAGCCGAGAAGCAGCAGAAAGAACGCCAGAGAGCCCAGATAAAGACTTGCTGGGGGCTGGGAGGCCTGCCAGCCTCCCAGCCCCCCAGCCAGCACCCCTGCCTGCCATATGCCTGGTGAACCCCAAATAAAAGACCTGCAAAACTACTGAGGACTCTGACTCCTCCTTTACCCGGTCTGCATGGGATCAGAAAACCTGCACTGTGGTCCTGTCCTGCCCTTACAAGGTATAATTAGGAAAGAAATGTTCTGGCCCTGAGAACTATGGAGAACAAGCTGCCCTGAACCAACTGTGCTTGGAAGCCATGGCCTGACACGGGAGGTGGAGGGGGGGGTGCATGTTTGCACCAGCAGTACATTTCCTGGTGTTTGCAAGAGGTCAATAGTTCACAGGCCGTGTGGAGGTTCAGAATTTCTAGTTAGGAGTTAGACTTCAGTAGAACTTACTTAAATTTGATGAGTTGTTTCACACCACTCTGAAGTAATCAATATATTAATCGAGTTAATTGAGTGCTAGGAGATAGATTGATTTTAGTAATTGAATATAGAATAGGAATTTTACACCCACTTTATAACTGGGAAAGCTTAATTGCTGACAAATGTTGTGCTGTCATATATGATTGATCATATTAGCAAATAAGCTGTACCTAGGAAACTAATTGTTCTTAAGGTTACCAGAGAATTGCCCTTTAGGTGTGAGACCTAGGGAGTCTTTGCATGATCATGAGAAAATATATATTGATTGTTTCTGTTCTGCCTCAATGCTTACACTGATGTAATCCCACTGCTCACCTTAAGGTATAAATAAAGACCCGCTGAGACCCTCAGCAGGAGATACTTGCACGAAATAAGGTATCTGTGTCTTCCTCACTCCTACCTCGCTCCACTTCCCCTCAGCCCTCCGAGAGAAAGAGAAAAAATTTCACCAACTCCGTCCTCTCCTTTCTGAGATTCCTGACATGACTTCAAGCTGGAGACCCAGCAGGCTAAGAGTAGGTTTTAAGGGCGGCGTCGCGGGGATGCCAGCAGAAGCCGAGAGAAGAGAAGCAGCAGAAGCTGAGAAGCAGAACCACGAGAGAGCAGAGCAGCAGAGATCACCAGAGAGCCCAGACAGAGAAGACTTGCTGGGGGCTGGGAGGCCTGCCAGCCTTCCGGCTCCCCAGCGCCCCTGCCTGCTGTGTACCTGGTAATCCCAAGAAAAACCTGCAAAAAGCCACTGAGGACTCTGACTCCTCCTTTACCCCATTGCATGGGATCAAAGAAAACCTGCACTGTGTCCATTCCTGCCCTCTACAATTGGCATAAATCGGCAAGATGATCCATGCAGACGGGTATGGAACCCTCCGAAGACCTGAAGGGACTAAGGAGTAACAGACTTCGCCTCTGACAATGCTGAAGGTGTCACGGTGACACAGGAGATGGACTAGGTCCGAGAGCTACAGGACGAGACCTCGCTTGAAGGAGACAGCCCGAGAGGACCAGCCAACGACCCCTGAGGCAGCAAAATCATTGGGGAAAGAAAGGACCACGATTCAGAGCTCGCCAATGCTGATGCAGGGAGATGCCTGATGGACTTGGATTAATGGAGTTGGACTGACAATCCTGCCAGAAGGCGGAGGACCTTGTTGATATGTTTTGGGACCCGGGGGTGGAACAGTTTCGTTTGTACACCCCAGGAGATGGGAATCTGGGGGTGGCTAGTGGGCCTTGATGGCCAAAAGCAGCCTGTGTATGCCCAGCAGCCAGGCAGAGGAGAAAAGCCAACTGAGAAGGCAAAAGCTGGTGCTGATGCTAAGTATGGGAAGCCCTGAGTGGCTGTTAAGCACTAAGTAAGCTGAGGAAGGCCAGTGAGTCTCGTAAAATCACCTGTGGGTGATGCCCTGCTCGTTCTTGAGTGAGGGTGAGGAGCTGAGGAACCCGTCCTTGGGGGACGGGTGGGGAACGTGGCTTGGGGTGGAGCCCAAGCCGAAGAGGGGACCTGAGAGAGGCCGCATGTAGAGTTTGGATCCCCGACCCATGTGCTTGTGCAGTGGGTTGTCCTGAGTGCAGGGGTCTGTGTGTTGCATTGGTGGCTATGAAAGCCGAGAGTTGGAGCGACTGCAGACAGAAACCCTGAGGGCTGGGCGGTTTAGCCCAAAGAGAATAGAATCGCCAATCCCAGAGTGAGTGCATCCTGGGGGTGGATGCTGTGTGTGGCTTGTAGCCGAGACTACAGCCAGAGAAGGCCAGGAAGCCTGACGGCTCCTGGCATATAACAGATGTCTGAGTGATTTTCCCTTCCTCGTATGAGCAGTGCCTTCGGCAGCAGATTTGATGGCTCATCTGCTGGTGCCAATAATTGTCTTTTGCCACTAGGTTGGTGTGCCCTGCCTGGATTTGTGTTCTGTTGTATTTTATGTATTTTGTTGTTACATTGTGATGTATTTGTTTTTGTGGGCCATGCTGCATTGTTTATGTTTGCTAAGAAACAAAATTGTGTATATGTAGATTGTATGGCAGAAAACCCTGAGGGAGTGGACTGTAAGGTAAGGTAAAAAGTGTCAGGCTTTTCTGCCCTCCGGCCATTAGGATAGATGACAGAACCCTGCGGTCCTGAATGCATGCCTGATGGCAGATACCTGGAGTAGGGTGTGGGCATATGTAGATGGGATTCACTTGGGCTAAGACCAGGTTTTAAGGGCGGCGTCACGGGGACCGCCAGCAGAAGCCAAGAGAAGAGAAGCAGTAGAAGCTGAGAAGCAGAACCACGAGAAAGCAGAGCAGCAGAGATCACCAGAGAGCCCAGACAGAGTGAAGACTTGCTGGGGGCTGGGAGGCCTGCCAGCCTCCCGGCCCCCAAGTGCCCCTGCCTGCTGTGTACCTGGTAATCCCAATAAAAGCCTGCAAAAGCCAGTGAGGGCTCCATGACTCTGACTCCTCCTTTACCCAGTCTGCTGGATCAGAAAACCTGCACTGTGTCCCTTCCCGTCCATACAATGAGTCACATTGTTCACCTTGATAATTCTGGTGATGGGGCCCTGATTCCGGTAAATGGCAGAGGGGAAGGTCCCTGCTGAGGGCAGACCCAGGAGGCAGTTGGTCCAGTCCCCTCTCATCTCCTCTCTTCATATTCCTGGTCTTGTCCTAAGTGTCCAGTCACAGTTCTGGAAACTTCCCTGTGGTCCAGACTTGGGGAGTCCGTTAGGGCTTCATAGCCTGACTCCTCCTTGGTCTCCTATGATGCTCCCTCCCACAGGAGGAAAAGGAGGAAGCTACACTCAGGCTGCAGGTCAGTGTGTGTAGGGTAAATGATTGTCAGGCTTTTCTTTCCTCTTGCCATTAGGATTAATGATGGATCCCTGCCTGATAGAGGGCACCTGGAGTAGGGTG